ACACACAGACACAGACACACACACACACACACACACACACACACACACACACACACACACACACACACACACACACACACACACACACACACACACACACACACGGGGTTACATGACATATATATGTGCAGAGAATCGGAGACACAGACAGACAGACAGACAGACAGACAGACAGACAGACACACACACACACACGCACACACACACACACGCACACACACACACACGCACACACACACACACGCACACACACACACACGCACACACACACACACGCACACACACACACACGCACACACACACACACGCACACACACACACACGCACACACACACACACGCACACACACACACACGCACACACACACACACGCACACACACACACACGCACACACACACACACGCACACACACACACACGCACACACACACACACGCACACACACACACACGCACACACACACACACGCACACACACACACACGCACACACACACACACGCACACACACACACACGCACACACACACACACGCACACACACACACACGCACACACACACACACGCACACACACACACACGCACACACACACACACGCACACACACACACACGCACACACACACACACGCACACACACACACACGCACACACACACACACGCACACACACACACACGCACACACACACACACGCACACACACACACACGCACACACACACACACGCACACACACACACACGCACACACACACACACGCACACACACACACACGCACACACACACACACGCACACACACACACACGCACACACACACACACGCACACACACACACACGCACACACACACACACGCACACACACACACACGCACACACACACACACGCACACACACACACACGCACACACACACACACGCACACACACACACACGCACACACACACACACGCACACACACACACACGCACACACACACACACGCACACACACACACACGCACACACACACACACGCACACACACACACACGCACACACACACACACGCACACACACACACACGCACACACACACACACGCACACACACACACACGCGGGGTTCCATGACATATATATGCACAGAGACACGGAGACACATACACAGACAGACAGACAGACAGACAGACACACACCCACACACACACCCACACACACACCCACACCCCCACACACACGGGGTTA